GAGAGAGAGAGAGACAGAGAGACAGACAGAGAGAGAGAGAGAGAGACGCTGTGAACGTGCGGCACACAGGGCGCATTTGACCGTTGCCCATTGCGCTCAACCGCTTTTTCAACACCCTTGGTCGCACCCCTCAATCATCGATCGCATCCTGTCCACAACCATCACTTTGTTGCAGGGACGACGTGAGGCGCCAAACGATGCACTCTGAGGCGGATGGGCACACCATCGCCGCCCTCCAATCAAACTTACTGTGAGTCAGCACCTTACATCGCACACAAACTGCAAGCACGTCCACACGTGCATCAGAGATTTATCTCGCTCGCTTGAGAGGTCGTCCAAACACACACACAAACACACACACACACACACACACACACACACACACACACACGAACACACACACACACATACACACACACAAAACACACACATGCACACACACAAAACACGCACACCAAACACACAAGCCGCACTGGATGCTCGGGCAACCATCTTGCGCAAGCACTTCCAGCCACCACCCCCTTCATCGCCACCACTCTCCACCACGCCACTGCATCGCTCACGCCCACATGAATGTTGCATGCGTTGCTTGCTCGTGCACGACCCATAACCGTTGACAGCGCGTCACAACAACAGCGTGACTACCGTTGAAAAGGCCTGGCAACCTTGGGTTGTGCTTGGCTTCGCTTGTCCCGCTTTTGCTTGTCAGAAAATTTTCGCTTCTTCCCCTGTTTGTTGAAAGATGTACATAAACTTTCGTCACACTGATTGATTGACCAAGAAAACAAGCCCGTGCCTGTCCCACGCCCGCTCGCCTTGCTGCTTGCTTGTGGTTTTCCTGCTTTGCTTGCTGGCTTTTGCCCTCGCCGCACTTCTGCGTGGTGGGCTTTCTTGCTGGTTGGCTGGCCACAAACATTGGAACACCGCACCACACACACGCACACAAAGAGGGCCTGAGCACCACACCACCACCACCACCACGCGCACGCCCGCACGCCCGCACGCCAGTGCAGCCAGTGCCTTTTTTCCGGCTTGTGGTCTCCTTTGCCTGGTTTTGTGTCTTGGATTTCGGCGCGGAACAAGAAAAGGTGAGCTTGCGCCACTGGTTGGGCAACACCACCACCACCACCACCACGTGGTGTGTGCACTGACAAAGGTGGAAGGCGAAGGTTCCACATTCGCAGTGACTAATTGTCACAGCAATTTCGGTGTATGTGTGTGTGTGCACACCTTCCCTCCTTCTTTCCTCCTTTCTCCATCTTCGTCCTTGCTTGTGGTCGTTGGTTTACATTGCTTGGCAGGTCACATCAATAACACAAAGGCTTGTTGTTCATGACCGTAACCTCGGCTTCACGTTCACTTTTCGCTCCCTACTCCTCGTGGTCTTTCTTTGTTCCTCTTCTTCTTCACGTTCACTTTCCTCGTCTCCATCCCCCAACAACCCAGCCTGCAGAGCCAATCGACAAACAGCCGCACGCACACGCATACAAGAAGAGCCTTTGCTACCACTCACACCCATGTTTTGTTTGATTGCCTGTTCCCTTCTTCTGTTCCTTGTTGCGTGTTTTGCTCGAGGAGGACAAAGTACCGACACCCAGTGTTGAGGTGCTTGTCGAACCACCATCAGTTCATTGTGCAGAGCCATTCTCTAGGATGGACATGCGGCTTGCAGGGCGAGACATGCAAGGCTTGTCTCACTTTGACAAGCCATCTCAGCCACACGGTACGTACAGCGTTGCAATGATCGCTCCTCCCTGTTACCACAACCTCGCTCCTCTCCCTCTCTCCTCCCCCTTCCCTCTCTGTACCTCTTTCCATCTTTCTCTCCTCTTCTCCCCTTCCTCTGCCCCCCCCCGCCCTCCTCTGTTCGTGATATCTCCAACTGCAGCAGCAACTCCCAGCCACACCAGCAGCAATTATCACGCCATCAGCAACACCACCGGAGCTCACTGATGAGCTCCTTCGCAGAGACGATGAGCAGCAATGCGTCTCTTCTCCGCCCTTTGTCTTCTTCCCCTCCTCTTTTGCGTCCAGTGTGTTGCATCGCGTGTTTGATCGAACACAGTTTGTCCCTTCTCCTCCTCCTCCTGTGACCAAGCCACGCGTCAGTGGCTGCTGACCTTCGTTGGTTGTGACGTCATGTCACATCAAGCCACCAACAAACGTCACGCTTTGTTGCTTGTGCTTGTGCTTGGTTTGTTGCTTCAAGCACCCAGCCAGTGGCTTTGTTGGTTTGTTCCCTCTCCGTTCACACGCGCGCACGCACACGCACCATCACGCGCTTAAGACTTGCCTGCTCCGATGTCTGCTTGTAAGTTTTGAGTGCGCGTGCGTGGTGGTCGCGCTTGCTTTTGAGTGTGTTGTGTTGCCCGTCCGCTGGCCTGCTGCATGCATGCAAGCCATCAAGGCGTGGTCGCTGGTGGGTCAACACCACCAACACACCATCAGCAACTGGCCACCAACACCCGCAACGCCGCCTTGTGTTCGGTGCCTCGTAGCCGGTGTTTCCCCTAAGTCTTTATTTAATTTTCTTCAAGTCCAAGTGCTTCGACACTTCCGACTGTCCCCTTTTTCTGAATTATTTCTGGCTGGCTGCCAACCACGACACACACGCCCAAACACACACACACACACACGCAACTATGCATGCCGTTGATGTCATCCTGCCAGATATGGCACGCGCTTGCTTGCCACGTCTCTCTCTGTCTCCGCGTCTCTCCCTCCAGGCCTTCGTGCCTCTTCTGTTCTCACATACTTGTCGAGAACCTTCGGCGTATGTGTGTGCGTGTGTGAGTGCGTTTGTGGCTTTTCTGGGCGGGCTACGCCACCCACCAACCAGCCAACCAAACCCTTCGTCCCACTTGACCTTCTTCTTCCTCTTGCATCTGCGTTCGGCCGCTTGTGTCTTTGATTGGCGTGCACGGTGCATGTGTGCATGTGTGTGTGTGCATGTGTGTGTGTGTGTGTTGCGTTGCTGCAACCGCACCCGGCTTTGCGGCAAGAAGCACACACACAACCAGCTTGCTTGGGTGTGGCGGAATGCAATGTCCAACCTACCCACCACCACACACACACGCGCGCGCACGCACATTCTTGTGGTTGTGTGTTTCGTTCTCTCCGCACACGGCTGCGTCCTCCGTTTCAAAGGGGTTCCGAATGCCGCACAGCAACCAACCACCACATATGCACGCGTGGCCGTTGTTGTTTGTATTGTAACACATTGTTCTGAGAACACTGGCGTTGCCTTGAAATTGCGCCCTGTTGCATCCACCGTCTTTCGCTTCCGGCCATCCACCTCCCCCCCCATGTGGGTTTGTGTCTTGCACCGTCTCGTCACATGACATGCTTTCTTTCTTTCTTTGTTTTCTTTGTTGGGTGTGTGTTGGCGTTCTTTATCCGCTTCGGCAACCACGCAATACCGGCTCTTTTATTGCTCATTTGTCATCGTCGAGAGAGTCTCCAAGATCGATCGATCGATCGCACCACCAGCAACCGGCCGTTTCCGCCTCTTCATTTCACGCACACAGCAAACCCAGCCCACCCTCACTCACAGCACACAAGCAGCCCGTCTCCCATCCGCAACTTGAGCTTTTGTTTCCCCGTAGGAACAACACAGCACCACGCACCACCAGCAACACCAACCCCCTCACCAGCAAGCAGCCGCCTTACCTTCTTGTGCCCTTCCTTTCAGTCTTGTGAGCGACTGTGTCGAGTTTCTGCAAGGGGTGTTGTCCACCCACCCATTGCTCTCGCGCTCCGCTTGTTTGGTTTGTTTTCTCCCTCTTGGTCACCCTTGCACCTGACCGACCTCTTCTTTGTCTTCTTTGTGACTTCTGAAGTCTTGTCTTGTCCACACTTTCCCATCCCACCCCCTTTGTTTTGTGTGTTTGTTTGTTTGTGTTTTGTCGACAACGCCAGCGACTTCCTTTCTCCCTCTGCCTGTTCTCTTCACTTCTTCGGGGGCTACCTCTGCCCCCCCCACACACACACACACACTTCCACACATCCCCCCTCCCATTCTCCGTTTTGTTTCCAAGTCTCTCTCTCTCTCTCTCAGCTGCTCGCTCACCCTACCCACCCACCTCTCCCCAAAACACCTGGACCTCGTGTCCGCCTCGCTGACTTTGTTTTGACTGGTTGCTTCTGACACCAGGCTCGGCGGTCCAAACAACAGTAGCAGCAGCACCGCCGCCGCCGCCGCTACCAACGTGCCAGGCCATGTCCGGACACGCGTCTAGCTTTTCAGGTCCCCCTAAGACCAACCAGCAGCACCAGCTCATGTCACACCAGCCAGGCATGCGGATGCAGCACCCGCAGCACCCACAACAGCAGGGCCCGCCGCCCGTCAGGTTACGGTGTGGCGCATGTGCTATGGAGTATGACCGCAGCGAAATGGAAAGCTGTGCACCTGAGAAGGAATACGTGTGCACCTACTGCATCAAGTTTTTTCTGACAGCAATTGATCACCCCACCTACCGCACGCACGCCGCGCCGCCCGCGTGCTTGCTATCCCAAGGCCTGCTCAGCGTCCGCCACTGCTTTGGCTGCTTGTACCAGCGGTGTTTGGATGTGGGGATACGGCACACGCGCTCTATCGCGGACGCCTTCCCTGATACCACCGGCCAGCAGAAGAAGCCAAAGCTCGAGCCGGACACGGAGGCCGTGCCTGTCACCACGCCCTCCGCCATGTCGTCATCAGCCATGCCAGCGGCCACACCCTCCTCCCAGCAGCAACAACAGCCTGTGGCGGCAAATCAAGGCAAGATGGCATCCTCCTCTTCCTCTGCCATGGCCGCTGCAACCACCACAGCCGCCGCCACCCCGGCAACCACACCCACCACCACTGGTACCACCTCCATGCCTGTGGGTGCAGCGGAAGGTGCGCCAGCCGCCCCGTCACCATCCGCCATGAAATCCCCGCAGCGCAAGCGCAAGCACGCAAAAAAGCACCACCGCCACGCCTCATCCTCCCCCTCATCCAGACACAAGCACAGGCACAGGCACCACCACCACCACGACCATGACCACGACGACCACGACCACGAGAGCGCAGACAACAGCAGCAGCCCCAGCAGGAAGAAGAAGGGGCACAGCCAACAGATGCAGATGAGCACCGTTGCGCAACAACCGTCGGCCGGTGTTACGGGCCCGGGCGTAACCGCGCACGCAGGCATCAGCGGCGTGCAGCAGCCAGCGGCAGAGCTGCCGTCCCAATCAACCCCAGCGCCCGGCACACTCAAGCACAAGCACAAGGACAAGGACAAGGCGAGCAAAAAGAAGGTGCAGAAGAAGACGAAAAAGGCCAACAAGAAGCACAGGAAGCACAAACACGACAGACGCCGCTCTGCCAGCGTCTCTGCCGGTGCCATTGCTGGTGGTGGTGGTGGTGGTGGTGAAGGCGGGGACGTGACCGCTAACAGCACCAGCACGGGCGCCAAGGCCGCTGAGGAGCCACAACGCGGACAACAGAGGCGCAGCTCGTCCTACGTGAGCGACACAGACAGCAAGCAGGGCGACGGCAGCCGCAGCCGCAGCCGCAGTGGCAGCGACGACGAGGTCGGGGACGACGATGACGACGAGGCAGAGATCCGCGGCCATAGCAGCCGTGTTGGCGGCAGCAAGGCGTCCCATCGCAGCCGCAGCCACAGCCACACTCGCCATCGCGCATCATCGTCTTCCTCATCCTCGTCATCTTCCTCATCATCCGCATCAAGCGATGACAGCAGCGGCAGCAGTGATAGCAGCAGTAGCAGCGATAGTGACAGTGAGAGCGAAAGTGGCCGCAAGGCACCGGCACGAGCGCCGCCTGTCGCACCCACCGCACCACCGCGCCACCAGCTACCAGCGAAGCAGCAGCTGCAACAGCTGCAACAGAAGCAGACGCCGCCACAAGGGTTTGTGCCGCGGGTTGCGCCGACACAGCAGCGCACCGCATTTGCCATGTACCCGTCCGCACACGCGCATGCGCAGGCGCCTGTTGGCCTGATCCCGCATGCACCGGGGAGCCAGCAGTCGCCCTTCATGCAGCAGCACCACCAGCAGCACATGCCAGGCTTGTACGGCATGCGCCCGCGGTTCCTCCCGCAAGTACAGCAACAGCAGCAGCCGCCGCAACAACCGAGCATGTTCCGGCCGAGCATGCATGTTCCAATCAAGCACGAGCAGCACCTCACCCCACAGCACCACCAGCACCAGCAGCAGCAGCAGCAGCAAAATATGCAGCAGCAGAGCCACCAACAAAATATGCAGCACTCGTCTGAGGAAGTGAATGTGGCGCATATGCTTGCTGGGATGCAGTCTTCATCCACACAGCCATCCACGGCCACCAAGCCCGCCACCGCCCCCTTTGCAGGCACTCCATCGTCTGTGATGAAGCACAGCACCGCAGGCCGCGCAGCAGCCACCGCCGCCGCCACCGCCGCCGCCAGCAGCAGCAGTAGCACAGGCACGCCTGGGAGTGGCAAGACCACCCGACGGGGGCAAAAGCGCCAGTCCACACGAGGTACGACCTTATTTCGTCGGCGTTGTTGTTGTTGTTGTTGTTGTTGTTGTTGTTGTTGTTGTTGTTGTTGTTGTTGTTGTTGCTCTTGTTGTTGCTCTTGTTGTTGTTGTTGTTGTTGTTGTTGCTCTTGTTGTTGCTCTTGTTGTTGTTGTTGTTGTTGTTGTTGCTCTTGTTGTTGTTATGCTTGTTGTTGTTGTTGTTGTTGTTGCTCTTGTTGTTGTTATGCTTGTTGTTGTTGTTGCTCTTGTTGTTGTTATGCTTGTTGTTGTTGTTGCTCTTGAACACGCCCACCTTGCACTCTTACTGGAGAGCGCAACGCCACCTCCACCCCCTCCCCCAAAACGCTACCTCTCAATCGTTCACTTACTCACGCTCATGATTTGTTTTGTTTTGTGGCCCGCCTTTCCTCCCCTATTTTGCCCCACGTTTTTGCGGCACCAGGCTTCTGCCTTGGGTGCTGGAAGACCAAGGAGCTGGAGGAACGCTATGCCGTAGGCATGCGCCACAAGTTTATGCTGTGCAACGCCTGCCGCAAAACGCATCTCACAAAATCAGTCATTCCTGTGTTCGAGACAAAGGCGCGTCAGCCTGCGCAGGCGACGGACCTGGCCACGCGCGTGCGCATCCGGGCGGAGATGGAGGCCGAGTGGACCGCGCGTACAAAGGACCCAACTGTCTGTCGGCTCCTTGATTTGTGGCTCCAGATTGGTGCGTTTTCGCCTCTTGTCTCGCTTTGTTGCTGTGATTGGGAAATCCGTCCAGACTCACTGCACCTGTCCTACTAGTTTTGGTCGTGGTTGTCTTTGGTGTGTGTGGTGTGCTTGGTGTGAGCTGTAGAGCTTGATGTTTGATGTTTGGCTGTTTGCGTCGGGTGGTTCTTTGCAATGTGCGGCTCATTGTGATGGTACCCCCATGCTGTCACACTCAAAACTCACAAAACGCGCCGCGTGTGCTTCTCTTGCTGCTTCAGATTGGTGCCGTGTTGTGTGCAACGGCGTGATGAGCTACGTCCCCACCTCGGAGATCCAGCAGGTCGCATACGCCGCCGTCACCGCTGCTGCGACGCACCCGCCAACTCCCGCGCCACCCACAATGATGACAACAGCAACAACTTCGACGACGGCGGCAATGCCGACAACAATGCCCACCTCTGCTTCTTCATCGTCACAGCCACAGCCGGAGCCCAAGCCGGAGCAGGAGCGCGGGTCTGTGTCGCTGACGCCCGTGCCGGGGTCACCGCTGCACAAGTCGGGCGCGCTGCCGGTGTCGTCGTCGTCATCATCGTTGCGTGCACCGCCAGCGCCGGCCGTTGAAGAAGTGCCAGCTGCTCCATCAGCGACAGCAGGAGCAACAACAACAACAACAACACCAACACCAGCAACAGCTGCAAATCAACAGGGCAGTGCGCCAATGGATGTGTCCTCGTCCTCGTCCTCCTCCTCTTCCTCTCTGGCGGCGGGGTCGTCAGCTGCGCGTGGCCTCGGTGCTGGGGAAGCTGGCGCGCCGCAGGTGCCGTTTAGGATCCGCTTCCTGCGCGTTGCCGGCCACCTGCACGCGGTGAACCTGCCGCTCGTGTCGTACCGCGACCTGCCTGCGGTGAAGAAGGCCATCACGGCCCGCATCATGGCGGTTGCCAACGACACCATCCGCAACGCCATTGCCAGCAACCAGGACCTGGCCCTCGCCCTTGAGCGGCACAGCCTGCAGCCCGCAGAGATTGCCATGCGCGAGGAAGACGTTGTCCTCCTGCTCACCATCTAAGCGGGGCGTGCTCGCGCATGCTTGGTTTGGTTGGCGGCTGGATGGTTGGTTTGGCGCACTGTGAGTACGAGTGGCCGACGTGGATGCTTGACAAAGCGATTGGCGGTAGTGTTACGTTACCGCACACGATCACGGCGATGTACGCGGCTGACGGGGACAGGACTGGTGCTGCGCCCATGGATGTCGATGACCGGTGGTGCAGTTGTTTTTTTCTTGGCTGGTCGGTGGGCTGGTTCCCTTCCAGCTCACTGCATCCCAAAAAAGCATACATGCACCCACACCTCTCGACTCTAGGCACCATCAAACACCAACGCATCCCCGAGCAGCCCTCATTGTCGCTCTTCTTCGTCTTGTTTTCCCGGCTGCCACCCCCACGCTGCCTTGTTTTCCTTTGCTGCTGCTCTTCCTCGTCGGCACACTGGCTTTCCTGTCCAGTGGACATCTGCACCTACCCTTTTCCTCTTTGACACAAAAAAACACACTCACATTGCACAAAACACAAAACACACAACGTACGCACGCGTACATACACACTCACACTCACAGACACACACACTCTCTCTCACACTCACTCTCACAGACACACACACTCTCTCTCTCACACTCTCACTCTCACAGACACACACACACACTCTCTCTCTGTTTTGCTTGTTATCATCGCTTGGGTTGAAGCACATACGTCTTGCTCATCTTCTTCTTCCAATCAACGTGTCACCACGACACTCATTTCCTTTTTCGTTTCTCAGCTCAATCATGCCTGTACTTGTCGCCTGTGCGGGCTTGTTCTTCAGCCTTCTCCCTCTCTCTTCCCCCTGTCGCCCTTGCCTCACTTTGTGCTTTCATGCTTTTTCTGTCTGACTGACCGCTTGCATAATTGCTCCTCTTCCTTTTTTCCTGTAGTGTTCCTCGGCTCTGCTTCTCTATGCTGACCCAACAACACAACCCTTACATGTCGATACACAACCGTCGCTTTCGCTTTCGCCTTCCTTTTTTTTTTTTTTTTGGTGCTGTTCGTTTTAGCTGGTCTCACAATTGCTGTGTTGGCGGCGGCTGTTCCTTCGCTCTTTGTTGTTCCTTGTACATGCTTTAGCTGCTGTAGTAGTTTTGTGTGTCCACAACACGTTGCCGTCTTTTCGCTGTCCACAATTTCGTTTAGTTAAGCGTCGCTCAGCTGTGTGTACACAAACAGAAATACAAAGAGAAACACACTGCACACGGAACAGTGCAAAGGAAGACAGAAGATCGAAGGCTTCCTGCGATCTACAGCTCAAATATGACAGAGAGAGTGTGTGTGTTTGTGTGTTGTGTTTTGTGTGTGTGTGTGTGAGTGTGTGTGTGTGTGTGTGTGTGTGTGTGTGGGTATGTGTGTGTGTGTGTGTGTTGTGTGTGTGTGTGTGTGTGTGTGTGTGTGTTTTGGTGCGGGGAGGGCACAAGATGCCAATGCTGGTGAGTGTCGTCGATGGGCAATCACGGCAGTGGCGTGCCCTTGAATGTGTGCGCAATGTCCAACAGGTGGCGCCCTTCCTCTGCACGACCGGCACCCGCAACAAAGTCGGGGCCAAGCTCTCTGTTGCCGTGTGGTGGTGGTGCAAAGCAGGGAGTTGGAGGGGGGGGGGAGGGACAGTGCGGGGTGTAAGGGAGTGAGCGCACGTTTGAAATGTTCACGGCCGCAACAAACGCAGCGAGTCAAGAGAGCGAGCAAAGAGAGCGAGCAAAGAGAGCGAGCAAAGAGAGCGACGATGACAGACAGACACAGAGACGGAGAGAGGGAGGGGGATGGAGAGACAGAGAAAGAGAAAGAGGCAAGGTGGCGGTGCCACGCGCGCGCGCACACACACACACACACACACACACACACAATCACACCTGCACACACACACACACACACGCACCTGCACACACACACACACACCTGCACACACACACACACGCACGCACAATCACACCAACCAGCTCACCTGAGCGTGACTGCAATGCGCCGGTCTGTGATTGCGCCGCGATGAACGGCATGCTTCCACTGCGTCCGCGCACTCCCCTGCACAGCCACAAGACTGCGTGCCGGCAGCACCACATACACCTGTGCTCCTTCGTGTTGTGGATGCTCAAAGCTCAGCCGCGTCTCGGACAGCAAGTTAACCGTAACCAGGCGCTCGCCCCAGATCCTGCACAACCGCGAGCAGCCAGAAAGTGAACGCAGCCAGGAAGTGAATGGAGTCAGGAAGTGAATGAAGCGAACCGCACGAACAGTTGGTGCTTTTCGTGGCCACGACGTTGTGTCACAACAGCACGTGCAAGTGTCTCACGACCATGACGCTCACCAGTCGTCATCAAAGTGCATGTCGATGGCTGCGCCGCGCTCTGGCCGGTAGTCGAGGTGGCACTGCTCCACAGGCTCAAAGTCCTGCCAAGATGGTTTGTTTCAGTGTGGGCAAAGCGGGATCAGCTCAAAGGGACAGAAGAGCGTCGGGCAGACAAGGGCTAGGCTGGTGATGTACAACAGCGATCAACGCAGGCGCACGCACCTGGAGGCATGGGAGAGCCTGCATTCGCGCAACCAGGTCGCGGGATGAGGATGGTAGTCCCGTGAAGTTGCCAACCTTGACCTTTTTGCGTTTGAAGTTGACCTTTGGGCCAAAGTCCTGTTCCATCACATCATTTCATCACATGACAGCGAGCATAGAATAAGCAAGGAACCATTTGTTACTTATGAGCGTACACAGACACGCGCACGGTGGCACGCAATGTCACACACACACACACACATGGTTGCGCAACGACAAAAACAACCAACCAACCAACCAATCCTTTCCCCACCACACACACACACACGCATACGTACATACACACACGCGCGCGCGCACCTGCTTCCAGCGGCCGGATTGGGAAAGCTTCCACGGCCATTCGTCCATTTGGGAGAGAAGCGCCTGCTCCTCGTCTGCTGTCACAAACTCGCGAAATACATGCACACCTTCGAAGGCGGGAAGGCCAAGCGACTCTGCAGAGGCACATGTGGAGGCTCCGGTGCACGGCACATCACCTGGAGGCATAATGCGCAACTTTCCACATGCCTCACACCACCGGTATTGCACGTGTGGTGCAGACACCTGTGTGAATGAGAGTGTGTGAGAGAGAGGGAGTGTGTGTGTGTGAGTGTGAGTGAGAGTGTGAGTGTAACCTTGAGTGTGTGTGTGTGAAGATGAGTGTGAGCGAGTGAGCACTCTGACGTGATGATGACAAAAAGTACGCAGCCAATTGCTGTCAAGCACAGGTGTATGCACCTCTTGTTCGTCCCGCGGTGAACATAGGAGACACGTGCGAACTCCTTTGCACCCACACCGTCTGTGCTGCACCGTGGCTGGTGGTGGTGCTGCCTCCTCACGGTCATCCTTCTTCTTCTCCATCACCACCATTGTCATGTCACTGTCTGTCGCTGTCGCCGATGTTGATTGATTTGTGCTGACTCGGCACTTTCCCTCCATTTCCCTCCAGACTGTTGCTGCCACTGAACCACCTGCGATCGAAGATGAGGTTTGTTTTGGCAACTGCGCTTGTGCTCGCCCTTGTGGCGGCCACCTGCAACGCAGCCATCACCAAGGATCAAGTGACCTCCCTCCCAGGTACGGGTGGATGTCTGCGTGTGTGTCTGTGTGTCTGTGTGTCTGTATGTCTGTGTGTCTGTGTGTCTGTGTGTCTGTGTGTCTGTGTGTCTGTGTGTCTGTGTGTCGGTGTTTCTGTGAATCTCTCTCTCTCTCTCTCTCTCTCTCTCTCTCTCTCTCTCTCTCTCTCTCTCTCTCTGCCCCCCCCCCCTCTCTCTCACACACACACTCTCTCTCCCTCCCCGTCTCATCTGGACATGCACACACGCCCTGCGCACGACACTTGCTTGCTCACACATTACCCAGGCTGGGACAAGGCACTTCCTTCCAAGCACTACTCCGGCTATCTCCCTGTTGGAAACGGCAAGGGTTTCCTCCATTACTGGTTCATTGAGTCCGAGAAGAACCCATCCACCGCCCCTGTCGTCGTCTGGCTCAATGGCGGTGAGTATTGCTCATGCATGACAAAGGCATGCAGACACACACGCACACACAGGCGCACATGCAAAGCCAAAACAAACAGACACACACACACACACAACCACAGACACACGCACACGCAGACACACGCACGCGTACAACATGCACTTGTCCCTGTTGCATCTCTTTTTCACTTTCCCCATACACGCCCAACACACCAACCCATGCACGCATGCCACGCTCGTTCGCTTTGCTGCATTCTCACGTCCTCGTCCACACTCGATCTGGCGATTTCACAGGCCCCGGTTCCTCCTCTCTCGTTGGCCTCCTCACGGTATGTGTGTGTGTGTGTGCATGATGTCTTGTGGTGGTTATCGATTGCGGAAACGTCCAAGCCAACAATAGCACCTACACACGTAGCACACACACACACATACATACAACAACAACACCCGCAGCAACAACACACGTACCACACGCACGCGCACACACATACACACACATACACACGCTCACGCTCACGCTTCGTTTGTGTTTCACCTGCGTTGGTTTGTTTTGTCACCTCCCCCTCCCTCCCCCTTAACAGGAGAATGGCCAGTTCCAGACCAACGACAACAGCCTTGACGAGCACGGCAACATCACCCTGCTCTACAACCCATACTCCTGGAGCACCATCGCCAACATGCTGTACGTCGAGCAGCCCAAGGGCGTTGGCTTCAGCTACTGCGCCGAGGGCGTTGACTGCGTCAACACGGACGAGAGCGTTGGCGAGGAGTTTGCCGATTTCCTCGACGGCTTCTTCAACGGCTTCTCCGAGTACAAGAAGAACGACTTCTACATCACCGGTACGTGTGTCTGTCTGTGTATGTGTTTGTGTGTGTGTGTGTGTCTGTCTGTCTATGTGTGTGTGTGTCTGTCTACGTGTCTGCCTGGTTGTGTCTATGCGCTTATGTCTCCAGCTTTGTCTGCACACGCGTGAGCATCATGTGTGATCCATTTTTGTGTGCACACGAGCCCGTTTCCCTTCTTCGTTTCATGGTCCTCGCTCACACACCCCATCGCATGCGTGTGTGTTCGCAGGCGAGTCGTATGCCGGTATCTACATTCCCGAGATTCTCAAGGCCGTGGATGCCCGCGGTAACCTGAACCTCAAGGTCTGTTGGGACTGATATGCTGCTCTCACCATCGTGTCGGTCGCCCCTGCATGTTTGCATCTGCTCCTTGCTTGACTGCATGCCCACTTTGCCTTTGCCTCACCGCCATCTCTTCGACATACACCCGCGCGAATAGGGTGCTGCGATTGGCGATGGCTGCATCGGTAACGAGGTGTCGACGTGCGGCTTCCAGAACCAGGCTGACCGCATTGCTGTGGAGTTCTACTACGGCCACGGCATGTACCCGCAGACCCTGTACCCCAAGATCAAGGATGCCTGCGGCAACTTCACCAAGGAGACGCAACAGTGCCGCGCCGCCCTCTCCGAGATGAACCGCAAGATTGGCAACTTTGACATCTACAACGTCTACGACCAGTGTGGCAGCGACCAAGTCACGTACGTTTGTGTGTGTGTGTGTGTGTGTGTGTGTGTGTGTGTGTGTGTGTGTGTGTGTGTGTGTGTGTGTGTGTGTGTGTGTGTGTGTGCACCCGCCTCTCTCTCTCTCTTGTCTCAGATTTCCTCTGCGTCTGTCTCCCTTTTCTCTGCCATGCTGAAGTTGTTCTCCTCTTCTCGCCTTACACCGCTCACCGCTCCCTCTCTACGCTCCCCTGTTTGCATGCCCTTCCCTCCCCCCCCCACACACACACTTATTTCACTACCACCAGGGTGTCTGACATCTACCGCCAGCTGCGCGAGGCACGCGAGTTCACCACAACCGGCTCCCAGGCGTTTGCCGTGCACCCGCAGCTGCAGAAGGGCGTTGCCGGCGCCCTCAACGACTACGCGTGCGGCGCGGAGAAGGTGATGGGCATGTGGCTGTCCAAGCCCGATGTGCAGAAGGCTCTGCACGTTGACCACCAGGGCCGCCAGCAGTACCGCCGCACCGCCGCCGACCTGCGCCCGCTCTACAAGACGCTGGCACAGAAGTACCGCATCCTCATCTACTCTGGCTCGGTCGACGCCTGCGTGCCCTACTGGGGCTCTGAGGAGTGGACCCGCGAGCTCGGCTTCCCGGAGAAGGAGGCCTGGCGCCCGTGGACCAGCCCAAGCTCGGACGAGCCAAACCAGGAGATCCAGGCTGGCTACGTCACCACATACAACGCTGGCCAGCACAACTTCACCTTCCTCACCGTCTCTGGCGCCGGCCACCTTGTGCCACAGCACAAACCAGGTCAGTCACTATGTCTGTGTGTGTATATGTTGTGTGTGGGGTGTGCGTTCATGTGTGTGTGTGTCTGTCTGTCTGTCTGTGTGTGTGTATCTGTCTGTCTGTGTGTCTGTCTGTCTGTCTGTGTGTGTGTGTGCCTGTCTGTCTGTGTGTGTGTGTGTGTGTCTGTCTGTCTGTGTGTCTGTCTGTGTGTGTGTGTGTGTGTCTGTCTGTCTGTCTGTGTGTCTGTCTGTCTGTGTGTGTGTGTGTGTCTGTGTATGTGCTCATGTGTCTGTTGGATCTCATGGAGCATTCGCCGTGGTCACATTTACCTCTCACCTTTCTCCTTCTTGCCCCAACCCCAAACAACAGCCCAAGCCTTGACCATGTTCAAGCGCTTCCTCAACAACCAGCCGTTCTAAAGCGGATGGCCCGCCCGCTGGACCGTGTGCGTGCGCGTGAGACATGTTGTCGTTGGGACTGCAAAACGTACTCACAACAACACCAAGCATCCCAACAGCAACCACACCACACCAACCACACAAACCAACCAACCAGTTGCGCCAAGTAAACACGACACCACAAACCATCTTCAACGCAAATGAAGAAATCTATGCAAAATTTCCATCCAATTTTCGTCTCTGCCGTGAACGTTCTCGCGCGGTAGCAGCTACGAGCACGCAGCGAACAGCCGACACCACACGCACGCACCATCACCAACCATCATTACCACCTCACGACTATCCATCAACCACAACACCCCACAACGGCAACAATGGCCAGCAGCAACACAGACTGCAGGTTCTTCCTGTTCTCAACTTGCTCAAAGGTAGGGTAGCCTGGCGTATGAGTGAATTAGAAAACAACCCCCTTGTTAGTTGAACTCGCGAGCCCTTGCTTGTATGTCGGTTTGTGTCTGTGCTTGTGTTTGTGTTTGTTTGTCTGTGTTTGTCTGTGTGTCTGTGTGTCTGTGTGTCTGTGTGTGTCTGTGTGTGTCTGTGTGTGTCTGTGTGCACCTTGCCTTCCCACCTTTCTCCCCTCCTTCGAGGCTCCCTTTCCTACCGTCGCTTTCCTCTCTCTCCCTCTCTCCCTTTCTCTCTCTCTATCTGTTCGTCAATCTGCTCGTTTGTCGCGGGGCGAGGGCGCAAGGTGATGGGGAAGCGGCTTGTGTCTCCTGTGCTCCGTGTTGTGTTGAGTGACGTGCCCTCCGTGTGCCTTGGCAGCCGTGTCCATGTCACCTCGGCCGGTCCACACCCCACACCCCACAGCACCCAGACACAACAAGAAGCAAACACACCACAACAAGAAGCAAACACGCCACAACAAGAAGCACCTCCACCCCCACCATTGCCATTGCACGACAAGTGCCAAGGCCAACACCCAAACTTGCGCAAATACACGCAAACACACACACGCGCACGCGCTGTAACGTGTTTGTCTTTTTTTTTCCTCGAGTTGCTTCCTCTCCCCCGCCCGTCCCTTTCATGTCGTCTGTGTTCTGCCCTTCCCCATCAGGTTCTGGTGGTCTTGATCACCAGAGCCAGCCTCGCCCTATGCTCCCTTTCTGTTGGCTGCACGTCTGTCCCACATCCTGCTGGAGAGTGTGCGTTGCTCTGTTGGTCACACCCAACCAACAACGTTGTATTCCAGTTTCCCATGTGTGCTGTCCGTCTGCATGGTGGACACAAAACAGCGCAGTGGCTGTGGTCCACACACGCACACACCCCTCCGCCCCACCACCTCTCTTCTCTGTCGTCTCTTGCCTTGTGCTCGTCAGCCCTTGACCTTGGGGCGTGCAATCGCGTCATCCACTCGACATCAGCTTCATGGGCAGTGACACAGTCATCGTCATGATCGCGGTCGTCTCCACCCTCTCCACTCTTTCATTCCGATTCAACCAACATCCATCCATCTTCCACTCATGATGACGATGCAACTTCGCGTGCCCCTCTCCCCCTGAACTGAACTTCTTCTGGTTCCCGCGACCCCTTCTCCGGGACTCGGCACGCCCTCCATCACCCTCGTCATCTTCCACCAACCCGAATCACAACCTGAACAACCTGACCGACGACAACGCCCACCGGCCCCTTCGTTAACGACGTCTCGTCCATTGTCTCTTCTTTCGTCGCAACACAGGGCGCGGCATGCCCCTTCCGACACTCGGAAGCGGCCCTCAAGACAAACATTGTCTGCCCGCACTGGAAGAACGGCGAGTGCACCAACCCCGGCTGTAAACTGAGGCACTTTGAGGACACCAAGGACCGCAGCACTGTGCCTTGCTACTGGGAAACACAGCCGGGCGGATGTACCAAGCCAAACTGCCCTTTCAGACACAAGAACAGAGCCCCTTTCTCCGTGAGCGGCCCCAAACGCCCATCGACAACAATGGCAACACCAGCAATCGGCAACAAGAGGCCCCTCAACACAACAAAGCCACCGACAACTACCACACCTGCCAAGTCATCCTCGTCAACTCCTCTATTCAAGCTCGCCTCCACAGGTGCCAACACTCAACACACACCGACAACGATGACGTCGAGATTGGTACCGACAACAAGGGCGGCTGCGCCACCACCATTCTCTGCACCACCATCGTCATCTTCGTCGTCATCATCATCGTCAGCGCCGCTGTTTGGCCTGATGCCATCGCCCTCCCGTGGACCTCACCAGCAACCGCCAGCCGGGGCGCGTGGCATGCCTTATGGCCCACAACCAACGCCCGGCCCTGTGTCCCCGCAGCGGCAGTTTCGCCCGGGCCTCATGGGCCGTCCACCAGCTCCGGCAACGACGATGAATGCGCCGCCCTACTCGGCCCTGCCAACACCACACGCAACACCAGTCACAGCCACAACAACGCCCACATCGCCGCCAATGGGCAGGTTTGCCCCCGTGTCGCGCCCGCGTCCGCCCACAACAGCGGCGGCGGCGGGGACAGCAATGCCGCCCCAACACATGCGCATGGGTATTGGCATGGGCATGGGCAGCTACGGGCCGCGAGGACCAACGATGCCAACGATGATGATGCAGCAGCAGCAGCAGCAGCAGCAGCAGCAGCAACAACAACAGCAGCAGCGTGGGATGATGGCTGGGCGTGGCATTGGGATGATGGCAAACGGTCCTGTCGGTGGTGGCCCTGGCAATGTTGGTCATGTCACCATGATGGGCCGCAATCCCGGCCTGATGCAACATCAGCAACACCCGCAACATCGCCCAGCCCATGCGCCGTCTGCTCGCATGCCGCCACCCCCAACAACATCATCATCAGCGCCATCATCATCGTCTTCTGTGAATGTGATTTCGCGCTCTGAGGCGCGCATGCGGGAGCAGCTCAAGGCCAAGCTCAAGCAGAAGAAGGCCAAGGAACAGCACAAGATGAAGCAGCAGCAGCAGCAGCAGCAGTTGGATGGGGCGGCCAAGCCAAAGAACGTGAACGTACGCAAGGAAACGACACACGCACCCGCAGCAGCGGCGGCAGCGGCATCAACGACCAAGAAGAAGGTACCGGTGCACGCGCGGCTGGAGGGTGTTAAGGTGCCCGGTGGCAGCAATACCAAGGCCGCTGCTCCGACAACCAAGAAGCCCAATGCGGCAGCTGCAAAGGCGACACCAGCAACAACGGCTGGAATAACTGCAGGAGCGGCAGCAGCTAGGAGGGGCAGTGCTGGCGGTAGGCAGGGGAAGAAGAGTGCGGGTGCGCAACTCCTGTTCACGCGAGCAACATCTGGCCCAGCCGTGGCCAAGGCCGACCCCAGCAGCAAGACAGCGCCGACCAAGAACAAGAACACCGGCAGCGGCGGCGCAGACGGCACTGGCACAGATGCAGACAATGCTGCAAAGCGTGCCAAGCTCATCATGCCACCTGTCCCCAAGCGCAACAAGCAACAGCAGCAGCAGCAGGTTGCGCAGAAGCTGGCTGCTACTGGCCAGAAGACTACGACCAGCCCTGCCGCCAGCAGCAGCGGCAGTGGTGGTGGTGGTGCGACCTTTGAGGTTCTTCCCCTCTCCCGCATCCGCCAGTCCAAAAATGGTGCTGCCAAGGCCTCCTCCTCCTCCTCCTCCTCCACTGCAACAGCGGCGGCGGTAGCTACAAAGGCAGCAGGTTCAGCGACGACGACGACGACGGCAACGACGACGGCAACGACGACAGCAGCAGTGGCGTCAGCAGCAGGTAAAGCTGGTGGCCGAACGAGCCCGAAGCGGCGGGTGTCTGGCACGCCGTCATCAGCGTCAACAGCGGGTGGCGAAGCGGTGGCAGCGAAGAAGGCAAAGGTCGCAACAACGTCAACACCAGCACCAGCGCCAGTGTTCACGATCAAGCGCCTCGCAGATATCAAGAAGGAGCAGCCAATCAAGTCACCCAAAACAGCAGTCACCGCGCCAGCAAAAACCGAGCCCATGACAAAAAAGGCAAAGGCGTCGGCAAAGCGACCTTCAACAGCCAAGCCAGCGACGCCGACGACGACGACGACATCGACGACGACGACGACACCGACTTTGCAAACCCTGAAGAAGAAGGAAACAACCCCTGCCAAAACGCCAACGCCAACTCCAACGACAGCGGCGCCTGCTGCAACGAGCAAAGCATCAGCATCGACTAAGCCGGTGGTGGCGGCGACCAAACCGCAACCACAGCAGCAGCAGCAGCAGCAGCAGCAGCAGCAGGCGAAGACGAAGGCGAAGCGAGCGTCAACGACGACAACGACGACGACCCCTAAGCAGCAAACAGCCCCAGTCAAGGGCACAAGCACAGCAGCAACGCCAACAACAACAGCCGGCGCTGCGGCGGTTGTGAAAAAGAAGATTGCAACCACCGCTGCCACCGCTGGCAAGAAGGCACCAGCAAAAGCACCAGCAGCGACAGCTACAAAGACAACAACACCGTCCACCGCGACCACGACCACGACCACGACAACCAAGCCAGCGAAGACGACCAAGAAGAAGGCGGTGGCTACGGCGGCAAGCAACACGGCTGCTGCTGCAAAGCCAGCGCCAACCAAAGCCGGTGTTCGCAGGCCGAGCAGCGCAGGGAAGCCCGCTGTTGTGTCGAAGGCAAAGGCACCCGCAACGGCACCCGCAACGACAGCAGCAGCAGCCGTGTCGACAAAGAAGAAGACGACGGCGGCACAAGCTGTGAATGCCAGCACCGCGAAGCCACCGCAGCGCACGCCAGCAACTGCATCAAAACCATCCACAACCGCTGCAGTAGCCAAGAAGAAAAAGGCAGCGGTGTCCACGACAGCGACAACCAAGGCGGCCCCTGCTGCCAAGAAAGCAGCAGCGCCCGCAGCCAACGCAAAGCCGGCAACAGCTACCAAACCAGCTGCCACAACAGCGAAGCCAGCGGCGGCGACAACAACCCCGAAGGACAAGAAGACCAAAGACGCAGGAAAGAAGGCAGAACAGGTGAAGAAGGAAGAGCGGAAGGAGACGAAAGACAAAGATGATGAGGAGGATAAGGAGCTGTTCTCGCTTGAAGAGATTAAGGAATACATGCAGAAGAAAAAGCCTTCAGAGGACACGCACGACGTGGACTTTACAGATCCAAATGACGACGAAGGCTTTGAGGTGAGCTTGCTATGTGTGTGTGTGTGTGTGTTTTGGGGGGGGGGGAGGGGCGTGTCTGTGTCTGCGTCTGTACGTGTGTCTGTACGTGTGGGTGTGGGTGTCGGTGTGTCTGCCTGTGTGTATATTGAAGGCATCCACCCCAACCATCTCACGTTTGACGCTGTTTGTTGCTCGCTTTTGTCCAATCCAGTTGCTGATGGGACTTTGAACGACCACGCCCATGCAACAGTCGTTTTGGGTGTTTGGCCCTGCTGTCACGCGTTCCAGAAATCGTCATGCGAGGACAACATGTGTGCACAACCACTGCCCGCGTGCGACCTTCCTTATGCATGTGTCCCTGTGCCTGATTTGACTTTTAATTTGTGTCTGTCTACGTGCAGTTGTCTACGTGTTCCCCGAGTGGGTCAGTCAGTTACCACAACTTCCAAAAGTACATGAAATATTCAAACAGGGAACACCTGCTGCTTGAACGCAATCAACTCGTGTGTACTTGACAGCGTGGTGCAAGCTGAGGACTGAGGGGATGGAGGAAAGAGGAAGTGTGGAGTGATGTAGTTGTGTGTTGTGGTTCTAAGGTGTGGGGGGGGGCTGGCCTGTGAGATGGCGTTGTTGTTTGTTGTTGCCAAAGTGTCACATGTGACAACAACGTCATATTGCA